CAGAAGGAATACAAAACAATCCCTCTCTAATTATACCAACAATGGAATACTTGGACACGAGAATAGCACAAACTGTTTTCAGTGCATTATCAACTGATGTCCTGTCTTGTTATACGGCTGTGAAACCTGGCCACTTAGAGTCGAAGACTGTCGACGATTAGAAGTCTTCGATCACTGGTACTTAAGAATCATTCTGGGAGTACGATGGAGGGATCAGCTCTCAAATGAAGCGGTCAGAAATCGGTGTTTTAATCTCACACGGCTGTGGACGCTATTACAACCGCGTTGACTACAATGGTTTGGTCACTTAGTTCGTACGTCTGATAATGACCTGACCAAAGCTGTCTTGGCACCGCCTCCCTGTCCGAACTGGCGCTGTCGACGATGGGCAGCTGAAAACCTGGCTAGACACGGTACGACAGGATACAGAAAACCTTGGTCTCCGCTCCGTCTACGGTATTCACCAGCAGAAGTCAAGCTGGGTCACAATCTGCGCTGATCTTACCGCAGACCGCCGAGCGTGGTCAGCGGCAATTCGGGATATTCACGAAGTCGACTTATCCTCTCCCGGGAGCCAAACGCCATGAAGTAAGTAAATTAAGATGAACCGAAGACTCATCAATCAAACCGTTGCCGGAATGGGACAGATTGGAAAAAGAAAATAAGATCTATGTGCGATTCGTAGAACCTTGAAATACCTCTATGGCATATCGATCAGCTCCAAAAATCACGCGATGGTGTGAATGGTTTTGCACTGGGACTAACTGTCGGCTCCTGGTGATGATGAGGAGGAGGAGGATTATCGAAAGCAGGTCTCCATGTGTTTGTGTGTGTGTGTGTGTGTGTGTGTGTGCGTGGTCAATCTGTGTTGCTAATTTACAAACCTGAAAAGATTAATGGCATCATCCCCTATTAAAAACCAGGCTATACCACGCTACAAAGGACATTGATAGATAGTTAACGCAAACTAGTTTTGCCTGAATCGCTCACAACGGTCTTTCACAGGCGCTATATACTTCTGGTAAGCCACCAGACTCGAGTCAGCCAGATCTACTCAATCGATGATCGTGGACATTTTGTGTTACAATTGAGCGATAGGAACAGTAATGTGTGTATATGAATTCTTTTAGTCCTTGGTAGATGATGAAATAGTGAAATCGTACTGCAGACAGTATCTCGAATCCAACGTGCCTCCAACCCACGCTTGTGGTGCTATCTGATCAGTTCACACGATTTTCTCATCGTGCGAGCAACGCAAGTAAGACCGCAGGTGTAGACACGCGCGTAAAAAGACCAAGGGGGACCGGTTGTTTTTGTTCTGACATCGGAGATCACAACTCGGCATTGCCGCACTGAAGTTGGACAAGCTCTCCGGGTTTTTTTTTGCAGACTCCGTCAGCAGCGGCAGCGCGTCTCCATTGGACGACAAACTGTCTTTCGCCTCATCGGTCTGTCGCGAAGCTAAATGAAGCACTAATTCGGATACCCGTACTCATCAAACCAGTGAACTGAGTGCTGAAAAGTTGAGGGTGAAAAATCTCACAACCCATAGATTTTGATAAAACGATCGGGGCCAATAATTCAATTAAACACCAATACCTTGAGAAAGAAACTCCCAGAACAGACCCTTCCCATTCGGTATTCCTCTAAGTTTTCAAACCAGTCTACATTTAAATGTAAAATCGAAAACAGAAATGTGCACATAGGACAAGAACTTCCCAAGGCGTCATGTAGGTTCTCGTAGTGTAAAACGTCTAAGAAAGTCAGCGTCTCTGAAACTCTTCGTATGGTTGACATTGGGTGTCTCGGGTTGTGGCTGGTCACCTTATCCCTGCACCGCGCCACATGTTCCCATACGACCGAGTGTTTCAAATATCCCCTGCTAAAGAAGTCACTGCATTTCTGTGGCGGAGG